ACAGCCGGCATTGTAGTCTACTCTTCCAGGATCAGGAAACAGTCCTCCATAAAATGCTCTGCACACATCTGAATATTTGGGTTGAAGTGTTCTGGAACAGTATTGTAAATACAACTTAACCACTGATTTCTAGTTGTGTCCTCTTTTGGAAGACCAAACAAACGCTTTCACAACGAAACACACAGCGTCTCCATGACATGGCGGCGGCAACAATACCACAGCGAGAATCAAAGTTACGCCTTCTTTCTTTGCGTGAACATTTGGGCGGCGTTATGCAAATCTTCCCACATCGTGACGTAGACATGTGGGGGCGTGTTTAAACGAGGCGTTTTTGGAGGGCGTGGGTGAGCCTTACCTTTTTTTTCAAAAGAATATCTCTTTGGGTTTGAGACTTTAGTCTTTGCAACTTTAGGGATCTTATCTATTCACGTACAGCTTGTAACACTCCAAAGAGAAAGGAAAACTTGAAATCGCATCATATGACCCCTTTAAACTGTCCAAATCAATTCCCATGTAGATACTTGTTTAAATGAACTTTTGTCCACTAGGTGGTACTACCGAGCATATTACTTTTTCCAGAAATAATATTTGCCAGAGGACATATGCTGGGTTGGTTATATCTGCTATGAGATGCAGATTATATATATATATATATATGAAATACACTAAAGTCTGTTGCTACAGTGTGTTCTATTGCTTTATTGTATTTTTGAGTGTTGTATTGGAGGAGATCACAGGAGTCTGTTCTCACTTGCTTTCAAAGACCAGCTCCAGCTCCTGGGCTTTTCTGCACAGCTCCTCAGCTGGAGGGAAGCTTTTGCCCACTTTGGCGAAGAGTGCAGCTATCTTGTTGCTTCGTAGGAAACCGGCAGCTCTCCGCTTCAACCCATGAAGCACACAGGCTTCAACAGCAGCTACACACACATTTACACACAGACAAAATGGACAATAGCACATAAATGGATAATTTTCCATAAATAAGAAAGAGCATTTTACGCCAGTCCATGAAAGGCTTTTTGTGTTTATGAGAAACAATAAATAGGGACATGGTTACAAAATAGTAAAAAAGATCTGTGAAATGTGGGAATATACACTTTCAGGTACTCTTCCAGAATCTACAATGCTGTTCCGACTTGGTAGTTGAAATTGTTAGTGTATGGTAGTGTACATATACAAGCATACTGCATTATTAGTAAGGGATAGTGTACAGTCAGCCGGTCATTACCGCAAAACTATCCATGAGACCCAAACGTGAAATGGAGGGTTCCTAAATGGATTTATTTTGTGATAAAGGCTGGCTGTCTGTACATTATAACTCTTATATATGTGTACTTTCAAATACATAAAAAAAGACATGAAATATTAATTTGAGAAGCAATTATTTAATTGTGTGAGATGACCAATGCATGAAAATTGCACATGAACTGTATACAATTAAGCTTTAATTATACAAATACATTTGGCTGCAGAATACTGAAACGGACCAGTCCAAGTCTAGACAACTAGAAATCTAAAAATTCAGAAATCTAGATCATTTGTGAAAACCTTTAAATATGTAATCAAACTGAACACCCAGACAGAGAAGGACAGTGAGACACACAGGCTGAGACACACTGCACTACGTGGCAGTGCCTGCAGAGCAGATACTGAAGCTCTCTTAGGACTAATCTTGTGAATCTGCTCAGATGGGGTCGGGGGAAAGCCTGTGTAGCCATGGAAACCCTCACTGATGGAGCACTTGTGCTCATTGAGAGTTGGGCAGGGCTCTGGAACAACATCAGCTGTTTTCTCTCTCTCCCTCTTTCCTCATCCTGTCTTTTTATCTGTCCAATGTATCACTTTTTGTTCTTTTGTAGCTGTTCTTTGTGACAGTCTCGAAATTAGGCTTTCTCATCTGACTCCAGCACTTTATGGCACTTCCTCTCCTCTGTTCTGTTTATAATCTTTACAATCTCTTTCTCTGCCAATATCAGAGTGTCACTTTTTAATCTCCTCCTCTAGTCCATTATTCGTGTCCTAGTCTCTGGTGTGGCAGACTGAAATGCCTGAGAGATAAACCAGTCTAAAGCTCAGGTTAAAATCTCTTAACAATTCACAGAGATGCACATCCATACAAACACAGCAGCTGTTTTCATCTGATGCTGTATTCATCACTCCTCTTTGACCAGCCTAAATGGATTCATGCCGAAGAGAGAACACAGATAAACATGAGCAGGTGAAATGAATGAGCAGTGGACATACAGACCATCAAATAGGTTCAAAAGGTCTCACACTTTAACACATTTCTAAAGACACACTAACTAATGGGAGGATCTTTAGTTTATTCAATATAGCAGAGTATTCTTTTTATCATATATTTATTCATTTTATCATGTCATTCGTAGCTCTATGACTGTTTCTACTAAAAGCAGTTGTTTACAGAATCCGCAATATATCAAATCCGCAATATATCAAAAAGGAGAAAAAAGCTTCATTACAGTGACAATACAATAAGCTCTGTATGAAATTTAAAGTTGTTATTCACTGAAAATCGTCCCTTCAAATCTCCTTTAAACAAGGTGTCCCAAAACATAATGTACCAGGTTTGACAACGATTTACATTCAATATCATCGGCTCTCATGTCTAGTGACTGATCACATCAAGAATGAATGTTCTGAATTGCACAATTTTTTATTAAACATTTATTTGAAAAATGTAAGCAGGCAGGGACGTGGATCTATATGCAGGGCATTTAACAGTATGACTAAGGGAACAAACAACAAGAAAAAAACATGAGCAGAAAGGCACAATTACAACAAGTGAAACATTAGCGCTGATTAAACACAATGGGTAACGAGGGACTAACAAGTAACGGGTGAGACAGATTTATCACTATAGCAACAAACAAGTGTAACCATGGTAACAAACAGCACAATGCAAACAGGAACTAACCACGGGGAGTGAACACAGAAACAATAGGAACAACTTCAACATAAAAGTCCAAAGACAAACACAGGGAACATGCAACAAAATATACAGCAAAAACAATAATACTGTGAAATATTTGCACCATTTCAAATAACTGGTTTTTATTTCAGTATTTTAAACTGTAATTTATTGCTGTGATGGCAAAGCTGAATTTTCAGCAGCCATTACTCCACTCTTCATTATCACATGACCCTTCAGAAATCATTCTGATATGCTGATTTGCTGCTCAGGAAACATCTCTTATTATTGTCAATGTTGAAAACAGTTGTGCTGCTTTATATTTTTGTGGAAACTAAATGAACCCAATGCAAATACAAGTGTAAATTAGTTCAAAATTAAGCATATAGGGGAGCATTTCAGAGAATAACAACTTAAATTTCAGCCAGTTCCTCTCATAAAGCTATTGTACACCTTCAGAAGAATTGCACAGGCTACTTTCAAAAAGAGCAACCTGGAGATTTTGCTAAGCATGTCTTGTGTTCCCATCAAAGAAAGAAAATCCTATGGGTTTGGAAAGACATGATGGTAAATAAATGATGACAGAATTTGAATTTTATCTAAACTATTCATTTATGCTTGATTTCCTTTACGTTCTTTTGTGTAGGCTTTGTTTGACTTTCTACAGAATGATCTGTGACTAAAGCTCACTCTAGATGCATGATGGCCTGGATGCAAAGTAGGCTTAAATTATTTTTTATACTGACTAATTCTCATTTCAGTCATTTTACTATGAGAATGAAATGACAAATCAGTATGCAAGGAAAATGAAAGCAGCTTCATCCCAAAGTAAAATGAAAGGGAACATGCAGAGACAGAGAGACTGCATGATGAAGAAAATTATATTCCAGCCAAATAAGTTTCCAAAGCAATATTCACAGCAACAAACAAGCCCCACAACTCATTCTGTCGCAGGAAATGGCACAGGGAGCAGGCGGCCACCCCCAACCCTGATCTCAAATGCTCATTAAAAATGTAATCATACCACCAGCCCTAATGGTTTCTAATCACACTGTCACAGTGCGAATGAAATGAAACCTGGATATATATGATCCCCTCCACTCCCACTGACCAGTACTTTACACTACAACATAATGACGTAAAAGCATCTGAGTGACGAACAGCAAGCTTTTAAAGCCACACGTAGGTTAGAGGCAAAATTAAGAGATGTCTTAAAATCCCACAGAACTGCACACAGTTGTTAATTGTGTCCCGTATCTGTGATGATGAGAAATGTCAGTGTTGACATTTCCATCTGCGGTGTGTAAACATCACTATAATCACGATGGCTAATTACTCCCCCATGGGCAGCCAGCAGAGTCTGGCTACCCTCCATTCATCTACCATTATCTGCCAGTGCCTCACTAGATGAAGCAGCAATATTATACCACTACAGTGATAGCATACACACACTCCTAATGCAATTAATCTATTATGGCATAAAGATTAAGCGTTCTTTCTTTACACGTCCAGTATCCATGCTTTTGTCTTGATTCTGTTGAAAAGTGCTCAGAGGAAAATGTTATTGCTCAGAGGTTTCTGTTTCTTAGTTCAAGGGATTTAATAGAGTTCATGATGTTCTTTCATCCTTTACTCCCCTCATGTTGTTGTAACCCTTTCTTTCTTCTGTGGAAAACAATTTCTTTAAATAACAGATATTTTAAAGAATGTTTTAACCATTTTTGTCCACACAATGAAAATCAGTAGGATCCAAACCAACATTGGACCCAACTGACTTTACTGTATGGATGAAATCCACAGAAGAAAAAAAGTGCATACCGATTTGGAATGACATGAGGGTGAGGAGATAACAGAATTGGAGAATTATTCCTTTAGGTATCAAGTTTGTCTCAGATTTATTAGGAGAAATAAAAAGTTAAATGTTAACATACAGGAAGATTGTTTTTTGAATTCGAGGAATTTTATAAGAAACGTTGAGAGTTGCATACTTTGGTACCTTGGTACATCTGGGCCAGCATTATTATTGGTTAAATGAAACTAAAACCATAAAAAAATTTACTTGAAATAAAAATAAATAAATAAATTAAAAAGTTATTTCAGCTGTTGCTAATGTGGCAGGAGATAGTTGAGAGGACTTGAGATAGAGATAGAGCAGGGCAGAGGAGAGTCATGATGAATCAGAACTCAATGAATTACAGGAGAGTAAACAATCGGCTGAAACCAGAAACCAGCAATGCACACGGGCCCTATAATCATCTACTGAATCCCACTGCCACTGCAGGAACATAATAAAATGAGTTAACAAGGCCATTAACCATTTACATTTAGTCATTTAGCAGACGCTTTTATACAAAGCGACTTACAAATGAGGACAATGGAAGCAATCAAAATCAACAAAAGAGCAATGATATGCAAGTGCTATAACAAGTCTCAGTTAGCTTAATGCAGCACACGTAGCAAGGTTTCTTTTTTTAATTATATAATAAATTAAAAAAAAACAGATAGAATAGAAAAAGAATAGAGCAAGCTAGTATTAGAGGCCTTTTTTGCTTTTTATAATTGTATAATAAATAAAAAGAAAACAAATAGATAGAATACAAAAAGATTACAAAAGCTAGTGTTAGTTTATAAAAAAAAATAGAAGTAGAATAGAGGGTGCTAGAGTTAGAGTTAGAGTTAGAGTTAGAAAGATGAAAGAGATGTGTTTTTAGCCGATTCTTGCAGATGGCTAAGGACTCAGCTGCTCAGATTAAGTTGGGCAGGTCATTCCACCAGGAGGGAACATTTAATTTATAAGTCCGTGCAAGTGATTGCAAGTGATGCA